CCAAGCCGATAGCTGTGCATTTAATGAGTTCAAAGAAGAAGCCATTCGTGATCAAATAATTTTCGGTCTGCATAACAACAATTTGCGAGAAAAGCTCATTTTATCTGAAGAAAAGTCATTACGTACGTTGATTAGCAAAATCAAAATTTTCTACTACAATCAACAACAATTGAATCAACTAGCATCAGACAGTGTTAAAGCGAATCAAATAGCAGCAGTTGACCAACGTGTTCTTCACAAACCGACGTCATATAAACGTGAAAGTTCTCAAATTAAGAGCAAAAAATTTGAGAATTCAATAAGCAAAAAGAAGAAGGAGAAGGTCTGTGCAGATGATGAACGCAAAAGCAGTGAGTCTAATGTAGTAATCAATTGTGATGAACTAAAAGAACATGCAATAGGCAATGTTTGGAGCAGTGTTGCATTCTGGCTATTTGTCTGGATCAGATAAATTCTGAGACAGAAATTTCTTTATAAAATCGATTCTACATGTAGAAAGAAAAAAACCATCTACATGTAGATTGTGTCTACATGTAGAATCTGTCTACATGTAGATTTAATGTAGATGTCTACGATTCTACATTCTTCTCTGATGTAGACCTGGAAAAAATGTAGAATTATAGACATCTACATCGAATCTACATGTAGACAGATTCTACATGTAGACACAATCTACATGTAGATGGTTTTTTTCTTTCTACATGTAGAATCGATCTTTATGAAGAAAGTTTCTTAGCTAGACAAAAACTATTGAAGAATCTACATTCTTCATCTAGTGTAGACATCTACATTTGCAACACTGGTTTGGAGTAAAAAATTACTCGTGCATGATAAAATGATCAATTTTAAGTTGGATACTGGATCGCAGGTTAATACTTTAAGCATAAATATGTTCAAAAGTTTAGGAAAGAAATTTAAGATTGAGAAAAGTAATTTAAAATTACAAGGATATTTTGGTGAAATCAATCACCCTTTAGGGAAGACGATTCTTCTAATTAATTTCAATAATAATGTTTACCTTGAAGAATTCATAATCATTGATAAACATCCCACGTAACCAAAATCGCCGTCAATGAAAAAATCGACTTAAATGTACAATTTTTTGGATGATCCAATAGACGTCGATTTTTCATCCATTACATTCGTTTTTCTTGAGCCGCTATATACTTCACAAGTGCAATCAGAATTCACTTATATAAGGCACAGCCAAATTTTCATACAAAGTGTGATTAATTAATTAAATTAATTACAAGCGAATTATTCATCTAAATGAAGACTTCGACTCTTTTTTTCAAAGACAAAATCCTTAGTTAATTTTTTTTTGGATTTTGTCTACAAATTATAGTATAATTAATAAAAAATATTTTCATACAAAAAAAATTCAAAATTTTTCCGTTAATCGGTTTTTATATTGTAACGGTCAAAAAAAATTTGATTTTGGTTCAAAAAAAAATCGACGTGAAATCGACGTAAAATCGACTAAAAATCGTCCCTTTTCATATTAGCATAATGTCCAATGTACGATACATGGAATGTACATATGGAACATACATGGAAGATTTTGATGTAATACATAAAATCTTCCATTCGTCGACTTATGGTTACGTGGGATACGGTACCTTTATTAGGTTTAGAGACATGTGTAAATCTAAAACTTATATCTCGTATAGATTCCTTGCAATTGAATCAAATGTTGTGTTCAGAACAGCAAAAGAATAAGTTTGTAGATTTTTATAAAAAAGCTTTTACAGGTCTTGGCAAGTTTAATAGACCTCTTAAATTGAAATTAAACGATAATGCAATTCCGGTGGCAAATCAGAATCGTCGAGTTCCATTCAAGTTGAAGAATAAGCTTCAGAATAAATTAAATGAAATGGAAAAGATAGGAATTATTTCACGTGTCAATGAACAACGTGAATGGATTAATAGTATAGTAATTGTTGAAAAAGGAGACAAAATTAGAATTTGTATTGATCCAAAACATTTGAATCAAGCATTAAATAAGTTTCATTTTCCGATTCCATCCCTTGATGAATTAAAGCAAGATTTGAAAGATTCTCAATACTTTACGGTTTTAGACCTCAAGGATGGTTTTTGGCACATAGAGTTGGACGAAAAATCCAAAAAATTGTGCACGTTTAGTTCTCCTTTTGGCTTGTGGCAATTTAATAGAATGCCTTTTGGTATAAACATTGCATCAGAAATCTTTCAAAAGTACATGACGGATACTTTTGGCGATTTACCTGGAGTCAAATTTTATATTGACGATATTATTGTTACTGGTAAAACGCTCAGAGAACATGATGAGAATTTAGGAAGATTAATGGTCAGGGCATTAAAGTCTAGTGTGAAATTCAATCAGAAGAAATTACAATTCACACAAAGTTCAGTAAAATTCTTTGGCCATATCTTTTCTAAGAATAAAGTAGATGTTGATCCAGAAAGGATTTCAGCAATTAATAGTATTCCAAATCCTAAAAATCTGGAAGACGTACAAAAGTTTTTAGGAATAGTTAATTATATAAGGGACTTCATTCCCAATTTACCTTCTTTAACAGTCAATATACGTAATTTGTTAAAGAAGGATAGTGAATTTTTATGGCTTGATAATCATCAAGCTGAGTTTGACAGCATTAAAGAAGTAATAAAAAACGTCACCTCATGTACTACATTTGATGAAAATATGCCAATAATTTTAGAAACCGATGCCTCGTCATACGGTTTAGGTGCATGTTTAAAACAAGGAGATAAAATTATTAGCTTTGCTTCACGTTGTCTTTCTGAAACAGAAAAGGAGTACGGTCAGATTGAAAAAGAATTTTTAGCCGTTTTCTTTGCGTGCAAAAAGTTTCACAATTATATTTATGGTAGGAAAGTTACTATAATATCTGACCATCGTCCTTTAGAAAGCATAATTAATAAAGATATTAGTAAGATAGGATCAAAACGCTTGCAGCGTATTCGATTAAAGTTACACAAATATGATTTAGATTTGAAGTACAAGCCCGGTAAAAGCATTCCTGTAGCAGACTACTTATCTCGATATGTTTCAAATAATTTGATAGCTGTAGATTTTGAAGAGAATTTCATGAAACAAATGATTCATTCAGTGAATATTAGTGATGATAAACTAAAAATCTATCAAGCTGAGACAGATAAAGATAAAGAATGCTCGTTGTTAAAGAAATACTTTGCTGAGGGCTGTCCGTCAGACAAATCAAAAGTACCTGATGAAATAAAATTCTTTTATAATTTGCGAAATGAAATTTATGTTTCGGATGATTTAGTATTTTATCAGGATAGAATAATAGTTCCCAAATCATTGAGAGAAAATGTTCTTAAAGATCTTCATGAAGGTCACATGGGAATTACTAAAACCTTACGATTCGCGAAAGAATCAGTTTATTGGCCTTCACTAAATGTTAGTATAGAGAATTTAATTAAGAGTTGCGAAGAGTGCAACAAGTTTCAGAAATCGAATAGAAAGGAACCAATAATTCAACACGAGATTCCTTTTCGATCATTTGAGAAAGTCGGATGTGACATCCTTGAATACAGTGGAAAGAGTTATCTTGTTGTTATTGATTACTTTTCAAAATGGATTTCGTGTAAATATTTAAGTTCGAAGAATTCGAACGCTGTAATTTCGAAATACATTGAGATTTTTACAGAACACGGCTTTCCAAAGACTATTATTGTAGACAACATGCCGTTTAATTCATTTGAATGTAGAAGTTTTGCCCAGGAGTGGGATATTAAAATAGTCACTTCAAGTCCTCGTTATGCACAGTCGAATGGTCTTGCAGAGAAAGCTGTAGGAATAGTTAAAAATATGATGAAGAAATGCGATAATTTCATTAAAGTTTTAATAGCAATTTATAATTACAATAACATTCCGTTAACGGATATTGACTTGTCTCCTAGTCAATTGCTTAATAATAGAAGAATGAGAACTAAAATTATTATGAAAGATAGCTTGCTTGAACCAAAGTTAAATCACAATTTAGGTGAAAAATTCGAAAAGAAGCAAACTAAAACCAAAGTTTATTACAATCGAAATTCATATAAACGTAAGGAGTTTGATTTAAATCAGAAGGTGTGGGTACAATTGCCTGATAACACTTGGTCTAAAGGATCAATCGTTAAGAAATGTTCAGAGCCTAGATCATATGAGATTTGTATGGATAATAATAGGGTTATTAGACGAAATTCTAAATTCATTCGAGCTGATTGGTCAACAGTATCCAATCAAATTGATCAAAAGAAATGCAATGAGTCTAGTCGATACAGAATCAATCTAGATAACTTCTTCGCTGACAACTCACTGCATGAACCTCCTCTGAATTCTAATGCAAATACCGCATCTCCCGTTCATCACCAACCAACTGCAACCTCAACAGAGAGTAATTCGAACCAACAACCGTTCCGACGATCATCGAGAATTCCTAAACCAGTACAAAGATATGGGAATTGATAAGAGAAGGGAGATGTAAAATAATGATCTGAGTAATCAGAGAAAAACAATAAATCAGTTGAATATCTCGAACAAAAACATAAAGACGTGTTTCATTGAAAAATCAAAAATAAAACAACAATATTCCATTATAAGGTAATCTTGTAGCTCTCGTTCCTATTTCTCCCTACACTTCAAGTTCCTGATCCGTTCCTTAATCCAACGTTGCCCAAAAATGCCCAATTATGGCTTGATCTCGTACATTAAGCAGTCGAAGTATCTAAACTTCTGAAAAAGAACACTCTTCTCCCGCTACACTTCAAGTTCCTGATCCGTTCCTTAATCCAACGTTGCCCAAAATGTCCAATTATGGCTTGATCTCGTACATTAAGCAGTCGAAGTATCTAAACTTCTGAAAAAGAACAAATTTGGAAATGGCTGGATTCGAACCGACGACCTTCGAGTTACCATACCAAATTTGAGCCAAGCGCCTTACCTATTCGACCAGCAAGGCACTTAACCGCTTAAGTTATAAAGAGACAACGAACTTTTGAAATGAAACTTTTATTTTAAAGTAGATACTAAATAAAAATGACTATAAAATTATGACTTTGGAGCTAATTGGCTCAGAACATAAATTACGTAAGATGAAAATAAATATAAACAGCCTGGTAGAGAATCTAATATGTATTGATGTGCAGTTTTAGCTTCAATGATTTTATGCACTTGTTCGCGAGGGTTTTGTCCATTTACATATAAATTTGACCTAAATATAGACAGCCATTTGACATAACGTTGATCACTAATATCTGAATTGATGGTTGAGTTATAAATATCAACTGGCGGAATATAAGTCTTTTTGAAATCCTCCAGTGTAATACACTTCAAAGTAAGTGCTGCAGATAGCATGCTACCGAGTGAAACTGGTGGTGAAATTTGAGGTCTTTCAACTGTAATTGAACACAAGTCGGCTAACAATTGTAGAAAATCAACATTTTCGGTAAATTCTCCACCAACAACAATTTTTGATATACTCGGCCATGTCTTGCAATCTCTTCTTATTGATTCGAGTATTGTTTTGGTCTGAAAACATATGGATTCCTTTGCAGCTACAAATAGTTGATGAGAAGTTGTGTTTATTGTTAAGCCAGAAATGAAGCCTTTAGCTTGATAAAGAAAGTTTGGGGCACAAAGGCCTTTTAGAGCTGGCACAAAGATAATCTCTTCTTCACGAAACTTTTTAAAGCAATTTCCGTTTCTCATAGCAATAAAACTTGAAACTGGTGAGATATTGTCGTCAAAATTATTATTAGATTCGGGCAATATTGAATTTTTCAACCAATCAACCGTTGAACAAGCGTTTCCGATGTATCCTTCAAGAGCATAAAATGGTTTTTCGTTAGGTCCTAATTGAAATCCAATCGTTGTAAGGAGATCATTTTCGGAATGGATAATTTCTTGGCCTGTATTAAACATTATAGAGCAATCATTCTCAAAATGACATTCAATTTGTCCAGGCTTTAAGCACAATTGACCTAAGAGAGCACTATTTTTATCACCCATTACACTTGCAATAGGTATCCCCTCTAAAACCCTTGATCCATTCATTTTGACATATCCATAAATCTCACTATTACTTCGAATCTTTGGTAAAATGCTCATTGGGATATTAAAAAAGTTACAAAGTCTCTTATTCCACTGGAGTGTTTCTAGATCCATTAATAGCGTTCTAGATGCGTTTGTTACGTCTGTACAATGTGATTGACCCCCTGTCAAATTCCAAACAATCCATGAATCTAAATTACCAAAATAACATTCCTTATTCGTTATCGAGTCCTGTACTGCCTTGTTATTTTCAATTAACCATTGTATCTTAAGTCCACTAAAGCATATGTCAAATGGTAATCCACAGACAGATCTGAGATAATTCTTCTTGTTTCTTGTTCGTGCCAGAATTGAATCTTTTAATGAAACTAAACGCTCATCACACCAGCTTAAAATATTCAGCACCTGACCTTCCTTATTCCATAACAAAGTCGTTTCTCGTTGATTTGTTATACTGATTCCTATTATGTCATTACAATTTATTTCAAGAATATGAAGATTTCCAACAACTATATGAATTACCTAAAGAATGAGAGCAAAAAAGTGTTGCGAATATGCAAAAAAAGAAGATAAAAGTCAAGTATAGAGAATATATTTTTAAAATCAATAAATTTGTCCTTACTTCTTGTACAGTATTCCAAAGTTCAATAGGATCATATTCATCTTCATCATTTCCATCAATTTTATTAATTTTGAGCTCGTGACACGTTAGGATTTCACTATTTTTCAATGCGTAAATCTTAAATTTTGATTATAAACATATTAATTGACCTTGAAATAATGATTATATACAGTTACTCACGAGGAATTTACAGTATGAATTGCCTACTTCCAGTACACCTATTAACTTTCCAAACTTTCTTCCTGTCATCGTATATTTTAAGTGAATTTAATTACCAAATAATTGAAATTTTATTTTGTGCATGTAATTCTAGTTTTTTTTCCACAAAATTAAGAAATCATCAAAGCTTAAAGCGCAATTTTATTTTACATATAGCAAAGATATTATGAAAGTCTTTAAATACGGCCCTTTCTTGTTAATTGTAGTTAAAAACTATGTAATTTATTATTTTAAAGTAATATCAAAATTTATGCTCAAAGCAAAAGACAGCCAGTCAAAAATGTGAAAAATGCTCTTTTTGGTGAATATCGAATTTTAAAACTATAAAAAATTAATTATGCTACATTTCCACTTTAATCTTGAATATTAATATATCTTTATAAGTTTGCAATAATCCTTTGCAGTTCTGTTTAAAATATGGACCTTTTAAGCATTGAATGAGATAATTTTGATGACTTTTTTGTAACGAATTTTAAAAATTCAAATATCAAAAACATCATTTACAGTGACCAAATATTTTGTTGCGAGAAGAAATATTTAAAAAAATTAAGTTTTTACTAAAGAAATGAGTTTTAGCCGTGATATTTCACTCTTAATAGCTTAATAAGTGCATCAGCTATCTTTAGCAGTTACAGGATTTTACTAAATTCGTGTAATTTCATCGCAGGTAAATTTTTCCGAAATTTATAAACAAATGGAACAAATGTTTAATTGCTATATGAAAAAGTCGTGCAAAAAGTTGATAAACTGATCTTGCAAAACCGGGATATCATAATGCTCGTAATTAATTTCTACTTTCATATTATTCGTTGGATAATAAACAGCATTTAAAAAAATCAGTGTCTACACAGTTTGTGTATTATTGTAAAATATATAACTTTTATCTGATCTTAAATTGAATGATATGATTTAGTGAAATTAATGAGTGATTAAAATTCTTTGACTTCTACTGTTTTTAAATCGTTTAAATTATCAACTTACAACATTAATTCTATGATCCAGAAAAGAATCGTTAAATAACTTACCTTTTAACAAACAATCATATCTGATCCAGTTTAAAAAGAATAAGACTCATCAATTTAAGTTAATTAATTCTCATAACAATAATCCCGCTCACGAAAAAATCTTATTCAATCACGCAAACAGTTTTCTTTCTATGCTCTTTTCCCATGTGAAAAAAGAAGGAAATGAGAAAAGAACAGTCAGTGCGGAGCTTTAAAGACGATCACATCGCAAAAATAAAAGATATCGTATTACTAAAGATTTTTTAAAAATTAAAAATAGACTTAAAAGAAAAACTTCAGAACACTGTTCATGTATAATGATGTGAAAAGGGAGAAAAAAAATATTAATTAGAAAATTTATTGGAAAAGATATGGACAGTAGAGATCATGAAGGAGAAATAAAATCATTTACAGTCAGATTTTGTGACCAAATTAATAATTAATCCTTATTATCATAATATTAAGTAAAAGCGTGTAAAAGTTAAGATGAATCGAAACAGAACGTCTGTAAGATCCTCACGTGGCTCGAATTCCACAAACGGTAGTGATCCGCGAGAAAAGTTGAAAGATTGCTGCAGGAAATTTGCTGCATTTATGTGTACACAAGTGGGTGTTGGAGCATTAATTGTGGCATACGCGTTATTGGGTGCTGGCATGTTTATGAATATTGAGCAAGAAAGAAATGATACAGACAAGCTTACGATAATGCAAAACAGAGAAGCATTTGCTAATGAACTTTGGTCAGTCATAGAAGTTCACAATCTGCTAAATAATACTGTATTTGTGTCTGCTGCTAGTGAGCTCCTAGTTGAATATCAAAACAATTTTACAGAATTAGTAAGATCTGGATATCAAATATCCAGTCCCAAAGAGTTATGGTCATTTCCAGCATCTTTGATGTTTTGCCTGTCCGTTTTCTCAATGATTGGCTACGGAAATTTAGTTCCTAAAACGACATGGGGAAAGATAATGACGATGGTTTATGCCGCATTTGGAATTCCTTTATATGTTTTATATTTTGTCTGCATGGGAAAAGTATTGGCTTCAACATTCAAATGGCTTTATACTTGGCTACACGATTGCAGCGATAAAGATAATATTAATGGAAGTGAAGAAGGAAGTTCTTTTCAATTGTCAAAAGCAAGAAAAAAAATTATTGTTCCATCTACTGCATGTCTTTGGGTGATTACTTTTTACATTGCGGCTGGAACAATAACATTCTGTGCATGGGAAAAGTGGTCTTATTATGATGCAGCTTATTTTGTTGTAATAAGTTTATGCAAAATTGGTTTTGGAGATTTTGTGCCTGGATCGAGCACAACGGATGGAGAGAATCAAGGGAAATTGGTCATTAATTTCATTTTCATCCTTTTTGGGATGGGTCTCGTTGCAATGTGCTATATATTGATGCGCGAAGAAGTGCGAGAGAAGTTCCGTGAAATGAAAGAAGATGCAAAATTGTGTATGAATGATATAAGCCAAAAGTTTGCGAAATGTTTCGGAACAACAAATCGCGACGATGAATTTGAAGAGAGATACTATTGACAAGTGAAAAAAGCATAAAGCCGTGCCATGCAATTCTTGAACTAAATATAAGAAAAAACTTGTGATATTTATAGGTGTAAAAAATAGACAGACAATAAGAGTTACTAGTTATAAAGTAAAAATAACATTTCTGCTTCATTTCAATCAAAAGGAAAAAAAAAATATGCTTTGTGTAAAGAAGGGGAAACGTTTACAAGAAAAAGTGAGTTTTAAAATAATCAATTTGCGAGACGTGATTCATCAGACATAAAAATTCACGATTTAAAAAAAAGAAAAAGTTTCTTTTTCTGGTGCAAAATAAGACAGCATTGCGTTCGAATGCCTTCACATGTGGTATTTATGTAAATTAGATTTGACTCGACAGTCGCTAAATTATTGAGCTATGATCTCCCGCGTAATTTTATGACGGAATAAATACCTACAACCATGAGAGTTTGTCGGAAAGATTACCTTCTCGAAAAGTTTAATCAACGATTTGTTTATTTCGTATGAAAGAGAAATAAGCTACAAATTACATGTGATCTAGCGATTAACGGAGGCGCATCACATAGAATCAGTCAAATTCAATTATGATTGTTTAACAAAAATTAGTTCTTTAAGTCTTCCAACGACCTTAGTTTCTTTATTAAACTGTTACTTTAATTTTAGAGTAAATTGATTAGCTGAGTATCTTACTTATATTCTTCTTATGAACGAAGAGACAAAGTATGATCTACATTGACTTATTCATGATTATGTGTCAAAAATGTGTGTAAGAAGGAAAAATCCGTGAAGAGGAAAATAATGTTCAATAAAAATTTTCATCATATGTATAAATGCTTGAAGAGGAATTTAAATGAGATGAAAGTTAATAGATTTTGGCATATGGCTAGTAGAATAATAAAGTAGTTGATTTGCACCTAAAAATAGAGACATCGTTTTCAATGACTCTCAATTTATTACTGTTGTCTTGCTTACCTTTGGAATTCTTCAATAACACGCTATAACACATAAACAATCATAAATCATGTGCCGCTAGTAGACGCTCCGAAATTCTTCTTAATTATTTCGAAAAACAATTAAACATTTTGCAAGCCTTGGTTTCCTTGCTAACAACAAAATTTCTTTTATTTACTTTGCAGATCCATTAATCTTTATTTATACTTAATTCAATTTAACTAGTTTAGAAGTAACGACTTTGATAAAAAAAAATTGCTGTTAAAGATTTTTTAACGGAATAAAACCATGATGAATAACTCGGAATCATCACATTCGTCAAACTCAAATGTTCCTAATAGTGGTCCAATACGCTTAAATGCCATTAAAGGATACTCGAATCGACAAAATAATATAATATTTTGCCCACCGTTGATCCGTTCGACTAACAATAATCAGGATGAGCCAGCACATGCTGTGGTCTATTTTGGAGGTGATGTTCAGGATACGCCTGAAATGATGGAAGAAAATCGTGACACAAAAGGCTACATAAAATTCAACTTGGACAATACTGCTTCTATCTTACGAGAAGCCTTTCCTCGTTCCTTTATAGTTGTCGTGCGACCTGTCCGGTAAGCAATCTCATTATTATTTTAGACTTAATGGCTCTAATCAAGACTTTGTTTTTAAGGATGGAATTTACAACGTTTAGTTGTTTCGACAACTTTGTTAGAGGAAACAATGTAGGAATTCCGGATCATACACCCATGCACTATGCTTTGCAGCATCTAGAAGAGTAAGTGTACTTATCCTTACTTAATTGTTAATGCTGCATGATTTAATAATTTCAGATTGTTAATTAATATAACGAAGAAGTTGAAATCAATGTCTGATAACGAGTTAATTCAGAAACTTCAAACAATTCCAAGTAAGTATACAGAGCAATGAGTCATTGCTTCATACAATCTAGGGTTCGCCCACATGCGCATGCATGCTCATACATGCAAATTTCCCATGCGCATGTCCTGCATGTAAATTTTTTAAAACAAATTTTAAAAAAATAATCATATTTTTTTTTATTTGATTTTATTCCTTTTATCATATTTATCAAAAAATTCATAAAAAATATGATAAAAATGTTGAAATTCGCTTCAAAACTGTTTAAAAAGACAGGTTCCTACATCAGAACACCTCTAATTTGACCTTCTACTCACAAGATTTGTTGTCAAATCGATCAAAAGTGTCCAAATAATCATTATTGAGACATATTGAAACGAATCCAGAAAAAATTTGAAGTTTCAATCTTTTTTCTCAGATATACATGCGCATGTTACGTGCGCATGCATGCGCATGTTAATTTGGCGAACCCTATTATAATATGATAAATAAAGTCGTACGTTTTTTTGTAGACTCTCAAGCAAATGTTGATTCAGAAGACATGCATATTGATATATTGCAAGTCCATGACAATGTGACACCTGATGCTGATCAAATGAGCTTTTCTTGTAAAGAGGATTCATGTAATTCACTCCCAACAATCGCATCTGACTTGACACCTGATTTTATACCAACACCTGATCTCCAAACACCACCACCAACATCCACAACCGCTCCAAGCAATCCGCTTGATTTGTTATGGTGGAGAGACAGTATTAATCTAGATAAGGCAAATTTAACGTTGATGGGATTCAGTAAAGGTTGTGTTGTTTTGAACCAAGTGAGCAAACGGCATCTCTTTAATTGAACAATTGGATATAAAACTAACACATACATTTCGATTTCAGTTTATTTATGAATTTCATTACATGAAGACGCTGACCCCAGATGATAGCTCAATGATGAAGCTTGTATCGCGAATAAAGGAAATGTATTATTTGGATGGTGGACATGCTGGCGGTAATAAATAATCTTTGATCTAATGATAAGTTTATGTGTAAAAACTTACTTTATTGATTTTTAGGCAAAAACACTTGGATAACTGCTCGGAGCTTGCTCGAGACGTTGTGTCGATTGGGAGTTGCAATAAATGTACATGTTACACCGTATCAAGTTCAAGATGATCACCGTCCTTGGCTTCGTAAGGAAGAAAAGGTATTTACTGATTTACTTAAGCGACTAGGATGCAACATAACTCGAACACTTCATTCGAATGACTCGACCATTTCAAATCTGTTTACACATTTCGAGGTGCTCGAAAACTTCAAGAAATATCACTTGCTAAAGAAAGAACAAATCACGACGGACGAAAAAGAACAAAATAATCAACAACCGCTACAACAACAAATAATTCAGAAAACACCGAGTATTGGTTCTGCTGATTTATCATCAAATTCGACAACGTAAATTCCATAAAATAAAAAAAAATGGAAAGATCCTCTTCATATACATAGAAATTAGACATTTAAGATAAATACGTATATATATATATATTTTTTGCAAAACAAAAACTATTAATGTACACAGAAGAAGGATGCATTTCAAAATTAGATTCAGTACATTTTAAAATGATGAAGAAAAGAACATTATAATTAACAGAATACTTTTTTTTACGGTAGCATGGACTACAAATCAATTGATAATTAACAATAAGTTACCAATGCTACTGAAAACTTTTTTTTGGACAAGAAGTAAGAATGACAAAAGAAAATTTATAAAATAATTTTTCATGTATACTTTAACATTTAATAAGCGCGGAGCACAAGCAACAACTCAAAATCAGAAAATTTGTTAACTATGCAGTACATTGAATTGGAAAAATTAGCTATGATTGCATATCTTTTTATACGATGATGATCTTGAATTTTCAATTCTCACTTATTCTTTGTATGAAAAGATGTCCAGAATCATGCAACTTTAAATTTTATTCCTTTCGAGAAAAATTAAAATCCATTACTTTAAAAATTACTAGTAGAGAAAGAAAAGAAAAGAATAGAAAGCATATTTCGCATAAAAATCATAATTTCTTAAGATGTGTGACATCAAATTTCGCTATGTAGAATTAAAATTGATAACTGTAATTAAAAAATGCATCTTTATATAATTCTCATTAAGCTAAATCATCAATAAATTGCATATTTTGTAATAATTTAAGAAGAACCAATGCCAGCTGTTTGTACATAAATTAGAAATTGACTTTATTGATAATCATCATCATCATCATCTTATTCTCATTTAATAAATCTGCAAACTAAGGTAGTAAAATAGTGGATTTAATGCACTTTACATGATGGGGAGAAATGTTGCTGAGAGTGAGAATATCATCTACACGTTTATATCCATTAGTTAATAATAAAAAAGGTATAGTCTTAGGTATTAAATTCATCTGAACAGTCTGCACAATCACAAATCTTGTCGTTAATCCTTGATGTTGGAATAAAAATGTCTTGTCCTCTTCCTGTCTTGTGCCTCAATTGCTTTGTACAGTAAAATCTTCCATTATTACAGGCATTCGTCGACGTTTCATCAGTTCCATCTGAACAATCACAGTAATCGTCATTTACTTTGCTAAATGATATTTCTTCGTCTGAACTTTTCAAGCACTTAAACAATTGATTAGCATAGCGAGGCTGATAATGCTCTAAATCTCGTATTCTAATGCCTAATGTTATTTTCTTATGATCTAAAGCTGCTGGCTGTAATGGTTTAACATCCACCAATTTGTGACTTCTATATCCATCATGCTTGGACACTTCAAGTAATTCAATCCTATTACTAGTCGCCAGTTGATTGATAAATATGAATTGATAAATTATAAAAATTATTGCAAAAATTAAGACGATTGTGAAGAAGAAAAAGAGCTTCCGCTTGTAAAATGGCTTTGGAATCAACTGATCTCTAGATATCCATACTTTCCTCATGATTCTTTGCTGTAAAAAATGTAATCAAAACTTGATTATAATTTTGGAAATTCCTGGATTTTAATGATGTCACTAAAAATTTGACTTACTAGTAATTTAATATAGATATTCTTTTAACGTAATCATTTGCTCTGTTTGGTATTCAAGCATATATTTCTTAGTTAAGGTGCTTTTTTGCTTGCAATTTTAATAAATATTTATATTTTGAATTAATATTTTGTTTTGAAATATTTATATTGTACGTTTATGTCATAAAATGCTTAATATCCTCTGAATGTCCGACATTCCCTCCCAACTGGTTATAATAAAGTTTTATAGTTTAATTAATATTTTGACACGTGTTAAAATGCTGCTAAAGTTTGTAATATTTTTGTAAAACTTATAACCACGTTTAACTATAATTAACAGGAAGAAATAAATTTAATGCGCTTAAATCAAAACACGATTTATTACTGGATCAAGGGAATGACTGCTTTAGTGAAATCACCAACATAAAGTAGCAAAAATTGAGATCAGAGTTTGAAAAGCTTCCTTTCCACGTATAAACATTTAAACAAAATTTATAAAATTATTAAAATAATCTAGTAAAATGGTAAGCGTTTTACAGACAATAGATAGTGGTCATGAAGACCTTATACACGGAGCTGAAATTGATTATTATGGACTTAATTTGGCTACTTGTTCAAGCGATAATTCGATTAAGGTAAACAATTTGAAGGTTTCATGAAATTCAAATGATTTAATGCAAATTTATTTGCAGATTTTCGACATTAAGAACGGTGGACAACGTTTAAAAGCTGATCTTAAAGGACATGGAGGTCCAGTTTGGCAATTGTCATGGGCCCATCCAAAGTTTGGGAATATTTTGGCGTCATGTTCTTATGACAGAAAAGTAATTTTATGGAAAGAAAATAATGGAGAATGGACAAAATACTATGAATATAATAATCACGATTCATCGGTTAATAGTGTTGCTTTTGCACCATCAGAATATGGATTAATTTTAGCTTGTGGTAGTTCCGATGGTACAATTTCGATTTTAACTTGCAATACAGAAACTGGAATGTTTGATGTGAAGAAAATCACTAATGCTCATACAATTGGATGTAATGCTTTAAGCTGGTGTCCTTCATCACTTCCTGATGCCGCATTTGATCAAAGGAGCAAGCAAAATGCATCAACTAATGGAACTCAGACTCAAATTAAGCGATTTGTATCTGGTGGATGTGACAATACAGTTAAAATTTGGAAAGAAGATGGTGATCGATGGGTAGAGGAACATAAATTGGAAGTACATTCTGATTGGATTCGTGATGTTGCATGGGCACCAAGTATTGGACTTCCTTCATCTCGAATTGCTAGTTGCTCACAAGATCGTCGTGTAATCATTTGGAATACGGATGATTTATCAACTTGGACACCTACAATATTGAATACCTTTGATGATGTTGTATGGAATGTCAGTTGGTCACTTACTGGAAACATTTTAGGTGTATCTGGCGGTGATAATAAGATTTCTTTATGGAAAGAAAATAACGATGGGGTTTGGTCATGTATAAGCGAAGATGCGGAAAATGCTAAGGAACATCAAAGGCAAATGTGAAAGCAGCACCAACTGCGTCTTCAGGCCATTTAAAATTTCATTGATACAATTATATCGTTACTGTCTATTTGCTAAAAACTATTAATAAATGAATTTAAAATCCAGATTTGTCATTTTTGATTTTTTTTTTCTCTCCTTTTATTATTGATGCCTTCTTCAGAACAAGACATTGCTCTATTACACAATAAATTTAATCCATACGATTTGTAATACTTCTTTTTGTCCAAATAATTCTCTCACAATAGAAAGAAAAAAAAATTGTTTTATGTTGCTACAAAATTCGAAAATGATTTTTTTTGTTACTTTTTTATTAATTCATTGTCATAATTGCTAAAAATATCATGATAGATACTTGACTTACTAATAAAATCGCTCACATATCAAAATATTTTATCATTACCAGCTACGATTCGTTTTCATCTTCTCTATCCATCTCTTCTTTTTTTTTGTTCTTTTAGCAAACAAGTTAATTTCATAAACTTATTACATTTTAGCATAGAAAAAACATTTTTTTAATTACATTTAAAAAGGGAATACTGAAATTCACGGACAGTTGAATAGGAGAAAAAAAAGGATAAAAGAACACCGGTCAACCAAAATTCTCAATTCCTTAAAAGATTTGAAATCTAATGTAATGCATTACATTTTTTTTTACCTATAGGTGATGTATCGATGTTTAACTAATGAGAAAAATAATAACATGATGAGATTATCAAGCTTATAAGAAATTTAAGTACATATATATGCGTATGTATTTCTATACATCCTGAACGTATGTCTCATAACATTTTTTTTTTGTAGAGATGATATTTTAATTATTTTTTCTGTTCACTTTACAACTGCATGAAGCTGTTTCATCACTTTTAATCTTATATATGAGAGCTGATTTGATTCATGAATTTTTCTTCTTTTTTTAATCAGTTAAACTGGGCTTTGATCAGTTTTCTAATTCATTTTATAGATGGGAAACTGAGAGAATTAAAATTAGTCTATATCAATATGAAAAGTAACATATTCCTTTCATTTTTAAACTTGATAAATATTTCATCGCAGACATGTCACCTCCTTCTTATTGATATTAAACAACTCTTTTGAATCAGTTGTTTTCGTGATCCTTAAAAAAGACATTAAATTATAATTAATTTCGTTAAAAAAAAATACAGTTAAAAACTTACTGTTGGATCACAGTCTGCACAGTGCCAAGAATATCCACGTTTTTTGGGTGTCTTTTTTAATGGGGGAATTAGACATTGGAAATGATAATTCTTTTGACAATCATCACATCTTAATCAAAAATTAATTTTATTTTAACGATCGTTTTAAAATCAAATTTATTATTCACTTACTTGACTAAGTTTTGACTGCTTCCTGCTGCATTACAGACATCGCAGGAAACTTGATTCGGTAATGGCAATGATTTATTAAGATTTGTTATTATTTGGTTATCTGGAGATTCTATAACGGATGAAGCGGATGGCTGGATTATTGATGAGTCGCTCTTGCTGGTACTTAAACTTAGTAAAAGTCGTGCCTTTTTATTACTTTTAGGCGTTCCTTTCTTCTTCTTTTTGCTTTCTGGTGTCGATTGATTATTTACATGATGTCCATTACCTAATACGGGCGATAACTGGGCCTATAATTCGAGATAAAAAATTTGCTTAGTCACGCATAATGTTGAGGAATTAAACAATTTTTTACTTGGTTAACAATTGGATTTGTAGGATTAGGATTTTCAGCAGCAACGTCAGATTCTTCATTTGGAACATGCCATAAGAATTTAGGCGGTTTTTTGTCATCGCCTGCGGTTTGAAGTATAGCTCGAAATTTAATTTTAATGCGAGGATGTTGTTCATTGTTGAGTTGCATCTGATCATCTGAAGGTCTTGCTTCGTCATTGCCAGGTGTTTCGTAATCTTTATGCTTATGTTTCTTTTTGTGCTTCTTTACACTCGATTGACGATCATTTGAGCTTGGTGAATGTGAATGATGTCTTTTATGACTCTTTCGTTTTTTATGCTTGTGATGTACTGAATTTGACGAGTATTCGGCAAGACCATCGCCATTTGTTAATTTTGGCTCAGTCTGTCCATTGTATAATGGCTCATTCGATGGTTCTAAATGTGTGATTGGAATGTTTTCAGGTTCGTCTGCAAATTTTGGCAATTCATTAGGCAAAGGATAAGGAATGCTATTTGGAATATCGGCAAAAGCTCGATACTGATCGAGAGGACATTCAATCTTTTTCGACATATCAATGAGTGTCACATCCGATCCTTGCTGCTCATTATCCATTTCTGGTTTTTCATCTTCATCTTCGTGACTATTTTGACCCTCATGTAGTTTCTGCAAATCATTTGATATCTGCGATAATGTTCGTTTAGGAGGACGTCCTCTCTTTGGTTTCTTTTCATCTGATGCTGTGGATGTTTGTGACAAATTTATTGGTTCCTGTATCGTCTCATGTGATGAATCGAGATTAATTTCATCTTTTACTGTATTATCTATACTATTATTAGCTGTATTTGTTGCTATTATCGATGGCAGCTCTGGCGTTAACGCTGATTCGGAATTTATTGACGAAATTGATGCAGACTTTTTACTTATTTTAGACTTTGAAGGACTCTTGCTTTTATTTGACTTTTTCTCACGCTTTGTCACTTCGTCCTTTTCGACGATTTCTTCACTATTTGTACTTACAACATTCGGGATATTACTACTTGTTGCTTCTACTACCGTACTAATTCTATCCACATCTAATGTTTCTTTTACATGTTCTTCTATCTCGTGTTCGCTTAGCGTAATATCAGCTCCGTTTGAAATCTTATATTGAATACTTTCATCGCTTTTTGAAATGTTTAATAAAGATTGATCACTTCCGAATGAATCATGAAGATCTGTATGATAAAGTCCATCCTTACTGTAGCGAATTCTAGAACGTCTGGGACCTTTAGGAATTATTTTATTTTCAGGACTTGAATCATTATCGTTATCGCATTCTGAGCACTGCCAAGCATACAATTTTGATTTCTTTGGGTGCCTCGTTAGTGGTGGATTTAGACAACCAAGATGATAATACAAATGACATGTATCACATTTTGCTAATAGATGTTGATCATTACATTTTTTACATATTCCACATTCATTAAGCAGATCATCATTTGTAATACATTGTGTACTTAAAATTCTTCCTGTGTCATCTTTTCTTAAATTATTAAGAGGAAATCCGACGCCTTGCTTTAATGCTGCAGCTGTTGGAACTGACATTGTTCGACTAGTTAACATTTGTGGTGGCGGTGTTGACGATAATGCCGGTGAAATTGTATTAATTCTCATATTCGGCAAAGCCTTTCCAATATTCTCAACTATTTGTAATTGTTTATTCGGACAAATGGTAAGAATAGCATTATGAATTATTTCTATTTCAGACAAAAGATCCTTTTGCTTATGCTGTACATCCTGATTTACTTTAATTACGTCATCATATTTTACACGAAGTATTGATTGCTGATTCAACAGTGTTTTATTCAGTTCAACTTGTTGTTCCAGATTTGTTTTCATCTCCTTCAAACGAATCGATCGATCCAGGTAATATCCAACAAACTCTGTTGTAAATGACGGCGAGATATGCCACTTTTTTCTAATATCTTTAAGTGATGCAATCTAAATGAGAGTTGTTGGAAGAAAGGAGTCATTAGAAATCTTTTGAATCAGGCTTGAGTCATTTCAAAAGATAACCGTTACGAAAAATTTGAATAATTCAAAAGCTATTTATCCGTTAAAACAGAATTTCAAATTATACTTTAATTAAGCATTAGATCATCGTGCTTTTTGATTGGGTATCTCGATTAAGTGATAGTAAGTCATTTATCATTGTTTCAAGGAAAAATATTAAATAATATTGAAAATTCAGATGAAAATTAAAAATTGTAAACAAAAGTTGAAATGAAATGATGCAAGTCTGATTTGAATATTTTATAATCGTGTGATATTTACTTGTGCTTCCTGAAATTCTAGTGCAACTGTATCGATTTCCATTATTTCAGCCTTTTTCCTTAACTTCTTGACGGCAGATGCACTAGTTATTAATGATCTTGGCATTTTCTGGGTCGGAACTAATCAAATATAAAATTAAAGGGAATAATGTGTTTGATATGCTGAAAATGAGCTAGAAAAATTACCCCAAGGTTCTGGACGATTTAATTTGTTAGCTGCATATTTGATCCTGTGTTTTTTGAGTTTTCTTTCTATTCTCTCCAACTCCTCCGGTGTTTTATCACTTCTCACAATACCTACTTCATTTTCATATCTTTTCATTTGCACTAACAGTGCATTAAAATTCTTTTTGCGATTTTTAATCAGAAACTTATCTGAATGAACTCTACAATGTGCATAAAAAGGATCAGCCTGATCCACTTCATCATGATGTGCTTCCGATAAAAGCCCCTCTCGCTGTGCACTAAAATTGTCGTAGGTAATAAAATTAATGACTAAAGTAATTTAAAACAAAACAATTGCATCTCACCATGTAACGTGAAAGTAGCTTTTACACATCCCTGCGTCACAACCAATACAGACTCCAGTTCGGGCAAAATGATCATCCTCACATAAACTACAGGTTTTTGCGCCCCATTTGTTATACTGCATTTCGAATAATGTCACCGATGAGAGCTGATCAACTTCACCAAAAGCAACACCGGGAACGTAGAGCGCACATACTAAATGTACCCATTTTCCACAATCAGTCTCTTTAAAAATACCACCTTTGTTTGGACACAACTCGCAATCTGGATCTTTAATGGTAGCTTTACAAGGATCACAAAACCACGGCTCCGTAGAACATGACGATACTGTACTGGAAATACTAATCGAATCACTTATTCCATAGCATCCTTCGTGCACTGTAATTTTGCAGCCATCACACTCGACTATTTCATTTGTATCGTCACTACGATCTCCTAAACATGCACAACATATTGGAGTCATCAAAATCTTTTGAGTATATGCTAAACTTGATTTTGCCTGTTCCAATAATACATTTGTTGTATGTTTATTTGTTAAATTTGATTCCTTGATATTATCATTCAATTCATCTCCACTACTTTCATCCTTTTCATCGCTATTGCTATTACTATCAGCGTCTGACTCATCATTGCTTATATCCGAGTTTTCAGAGTGATCAGAAACTCGAAAATCCTCGTCTGACGATTCTTCTTCATCGGTACCAAGTATGTCATTCAATAAAAGACAGGAGAGAGCTGAAGTTCGCTTTTCCTTCATCTTTTCGTACACTCTTTAAACTTTCATAAACGAATTTTTAATCACTATTTATTAATTAATGTTCTTACTAAGCTACGATACTATAATTTATTAGTTTATGCTTATTTTTTATGTTAAAAACTTTCTTTCAAATATTCAGAATGATGAAATGAGTTTTTAGCCAATTTTCTTTAGTAAACAATGCAAAGGTTCACTTTGGATGGCTGTCTAACTTCACCTTCTCAAGCTCGCCAATCATAAATAAAATTTGCAGCTGAACTTGATTTTTAAGCAATGATCTTGAAGTCTATTTAAACTCATTTATTTTGCATCACGTAAAAACCAATTTTTTTAAAATTAAACAATGAGATTTTAACATGTACATGTATTCGGAAAATGCGTTTAGATCAGTAGCTTAAAAGTTGCACAGTGTGTCTTAAAAGCTAGTTTTCTTTTAGTGAGTAATCCTTTGATTAACTGAGCAAAAATTTTGAAAAATGTTTCCCGCACTTACCTATTTAAACTTTAAATTTCGACCGTTATTTTATTTGTCATCCGAGACATCTCTTAAAGCAGGAATCCTTTTGATACTTTTACCTGTTTTTAAAATTATTATATTATTTTAATTATTATAGAATACTACAAAAATATAAATAAGTGTACGTTACTACAAGTATGTAATGAAAGAATCATTAAAGAATTCATCGGTGTGCATAAGGATCGCTGTTATTCATCATGATCGAAGATAAGACCAGATAACTATAACAATATCAGAGCAAAGATGACAAATAAGATAACAAATTATCTGGAAAGTTATACTCAACATTGACAAAGATAACTAGTGTATCGGGTAGAAACCCAATGCGGATTATATTCACACCGTACCATCAAAAGTCTTATGGAAAGACCAAGATTTGTCCAGCATAAGTATGAAGAAAGGAGGAGATATAAAGCTAGCAAGTCACATGAGCTTCGCTTAGCATAAGTTTGAAAGTCTAAAGCTTAACGAACATTCTTTAAAAGTTTTTTAAAAAAATTATTCATCCAAAGTTGAATTTTATCAAAATCACAGTCAACTTTTGTTTTAAAAAATTCGTAAGAAAATAAAGTTTTTTGCTTTTTCTGAAGCAACGGCTGTTCCTACCTTGCCCAAAAACAATACAGCTCTTCTATAGATCAGCACGGATCAAATGTAAAAAACTAGAAGTCTCTACGATGTCTCGTTATTGAGATTTCTTGCTGATTAACTTGCTTGCTTGTTTGCTTACAGAAAGCGTATTTTGCGATTTTCTTAGCAATGCCGCAACAAATTTGAAATCTGTTTTTTGAAAATGATGTAAATTTTCAAGCACCAACTTTTCTTCTTGAACCTTTTATAACCAATTTTGCTTCGTTTTCTCACAAAATGCGAAAAACTGATTGTTCAATCTGAACAAAACCAATAGTTTCACACGTGAAAACGGTTTGAATATAAAAAAATTCAATCATGCTTATTCCTAAGAGTACTATACTTCATCTTTCTATTTCAATGCAACTAAAGTATCATGAATTAATTTGTGATTCAAAATATTTTAAATGCTCCTTTTTAAGTCCCATTCCAAATCGATCTAGGACTTTGAATGAGAACTAGCTACGCTGAATATCGTCAATATTGAAATCATCTTAATGTTTTTGTTGATGCTTAAAAAATGTCCTTTTTCTATAAATATATGTGTTAATTATGCTTTGATTTATTGTGCCTTTTTCCTAATTTCCATTATCCATTATTGCTTAATTTGAAGTAATTTATTATTTGCAAAACCTTTTGTTCATTTTGTTTCAGACAAAATAGGACAGTTTACTTTTTACGTAACGACTTCTAATAGGTTGTAGAAGATTGAACGATTTCAATTTAGATTGTGAATGTCCAATAATGAAATTTTCTTCTAATTCTTTAACATTATGAAAAATTTGAAGAAAAAAAACTTAATAAAAAGCAACCTTGGAAATATAGCAAAAATCAGAATATTTTTCGTCAGTATTTTTTGACAATGAAGTCATTACTTCACATCACATTTGAGCAACTGCTTCAGCTTGGGAAATCTCTGTTTAAGGAAAGAATATGAAGCAGACTAGACAGGCAATTGAATGCGATTACAAGTGGAGTAAGGAGCGACATATTGTAAAGAAGTAAGACTTAAATTCCAGGGATCAAAAATCAAATAAAAATTTGATAGTCACTTCGGATCCTTTAATAAGCACATCTAAATTGTTTCAAACTGCTATAATTAAAGCAGTTGCAAACTAGATCTCAACGTGAACAGACGTGTTTACAAATCGCTCCGCAAATTATTCAAAAATCTCAAAAGAAACAAAACAGAGACTACCTGAGAAGCTTTTTGTTTGCAAAAAGTTTCAAAATCTCAGTTTGATTCTCAAAACATCAAAATGGTAGCATCACCAAAAACTACCAACAACGAAGAAAATTTTTCTCAAAATCAGCATGGACTTAATAGTTCTCAACAACAACATTCATCTTCAGTGACAATTCTCAATATTGAGGAAATTTTCAGTGAAGATGTTTCACAAGCAGCCGACATTGAGATGACAAATCTCAAACCAAAAAAACAAATATCAATAAAGAAGTTTCTCAATGAAGCAAGTAAAGCAGAAAAACGCCCTCGAGAAGTGATAGTTCCCAACGCTCTTTTAAAAAGAGTAGCAAACGAAAGCAAACCAAAAGATGGGAACAAACCACTGTTCGTACTCCCACCAGTGAAGAAAGCTTCGTCTTCTGGAGTACCGTATCTATTTGGTTCACCAGAACAGGAGAAAAAAAGATCGACAACTTCTTCGTACTGGGGAGAAAACAGCAAAACACCAGAGCAACAAAAGACAATTTCCGTAAACACGGAAAGCAACAACAACAAATCTCAACAAAAATCAAAACCACCTCCAATTGTCATCAGCACAGGAGGAGCTGGTGAAATCAAGAGATTGACGAATGAAATAAACAATCAACCTGGAAGTTTCTTAATTGAGACCAAAAAGGGCAAACAAGGAACAAAAACGGTAACAACGGAGAGTTGGGATTACTACGAGAAATTCATCCAACTACTCAAAGACAAAAAGCATCACTTCCACACATACTCCAGCCAAGAACCACTGAAGAAGTACGTACTCTATGGACTCCCAGATATGGAAATCAGTGAGTTGGAGAAGGAACTTCAAACCGTAAAAATCACACCAGTAAAAATTGTCAAAATGACAATGAAACACAAAAGACACGAACAAGACGACGACCAGAACTACCTCGTGTACTTCAAAAAGAACAAGGTGGAAATTTCCTGGAATTCCTCAGAAAAATCAAAATTGTCAGCAGTTTCAAAATTAAATGGGCTGACTACAAAAATAGACAAGTTGGACCATCTCAATGTTCGAAATGTCTGCAGTTTGGTCATGGACAAAACGGTTGTAACAAACCGTCCGTTTGCTTCAGATGCTCTGAGCAACATGACTCGAAAACGTGCCAGTACATATCGAAAGAGACCAACAAGGTTCCACTCGGAAAACTCAAATGTTTCTTCTGCGGTGAAAAACATACAGCAATTTTCACAGGTTGTAAAACCAGACAAGAAATAATTGAAAAATGGAAATCAAAATCACAGAATGGAAACAACCAAAATCAAAACAAAACAGCAGGCCATTATTCATATGGACAACGGAGAAACAATCCTCCAACACCGCATCGTCCTGAGAGATCAACCAGAAACGTCCAACATGCACCAAAACCTCAATGGAGAAAGAATAATGTGGAACCATCAACATCTGGTACACAAAAGCCTGTTCATCAAAAACAAGTTCCAGTCAACCACAAACCAAGGAACACAAATCCTCCTCCAAATCACAAACCCTCAAATCAGGGAAATAAAAATAACTTGAACAACCAACAAAACAATAAAGAAAGAGGAAAACATTGGAAAAAGAATCAAAGAAAAAAGCAAAACGAGCGCATTAATAACAAGCAACATCAAAAACCAAAGCAAGACGTTGAGCTTATGGACTCAGAAGACATCAGTGCAACAAGTCAGACCTCGAATGAAGTCTTCCCAGAACCTTCATTCAGTGTTGAGGTAGTGAATCGAAACATAACAACTAATCAACAAGCTCAAAGCACCAGCACAAGAGATAAAAACATCTCAGAAATAGAGGAATCAAAGTGCAAGTACCTTATCAGCGAGCTTCTCAAATTAATCGCCAAAAATCCAGAGTTCATCGACGAAATACTCCAAGCAATCGGCTCAAGTGCCAAAAACACCGCATACAATAATGGATTGTAGACAACAAAGTATCAACGTCCTCTACTGGAATGCTAACGGCCTCACTGACAAAATGTTAGCATTTCTCGACTACCTAAGCAAGCAAAACGTCGATGTTGCTTGCATCTCAGAAACATTCCTAAAACCAAACTCAAAAATTGACTCGCATCCAGACTACGTAATTCATCGATTGGATCGCGTGGATAGACCAAAGGGTGGTGTTGCAATCATCGTCAAAAGAAATCTAAAACATCAGCTTCAACAAAGCTACAACACAAAACTAATGGAATGCATTGGAATCAAAGTCTTCATCAATGACACGGATAGTTGTCACATCCTCTCAGTCTATCTCCCAGGAGGAAGCAAAGGAGGGGAAATAGATCTACATCTGAGAGATGACATCAACAAAATAACAAATCTGAGAGGAAATTACTACATCTGTGGAGACTTCAATGCAAAACATCGAGAATGGAACTGCAACGTTGCAAATAAATCAGGAAATATTCTTCAGGAAATGTCAGGAGAGTTCATGATCTACTTTCCTGACTCGCCAACGTACTACCCAGAAGATCGAAACAAATCAGTGTCAACAATTGACCTGATGCTCTCGAATTCCAACCTCGAAACAACAGAACTTCAATGCACAGAGGCAATGAGTGATCACTGCGCTGTGTATTTCCAAATCAAAACATCAAAAATCGACAGAACTGAAAATACAGTCTACAGATATGACTACAAAAACGCAAACTGGAAAAAGTTCAAAGCACAAATTTCACGCCGCATTGAAGACAACATTGGAGAAAATTCTTGCAATACAACAGATGAGATCGAGAATCACATTAAGATTCTCTCTGAACTCATCATGGAAGCGAGGAACTCAAGTGTAAAAATGAAAAAGATCAAGTTCGAATCAACTAAACTCACACCGGAGATTAAAGATCTAATCAACACAAAAAGGAGTCTTCGTCGAAGATGGCAGAGAAGCAGAGATAATCAACTCAAATCTGAATTGAATTATCTGCAGAGAGTCATCAATGAGAAAATTAAAGAACTCAAAAACAAAAACTGGAATAAGCGTCTCTCAGAGATTCAACCGTCAAACCAAACAGTTTGGAGAATAGCAAAATTTTGCAAAAAAGGTTCAAAAACAATGCCTCCATTGACAAATCT